AAATAGAATGTTAATTATAAAATAAATTTAGAAGATTGAGCTTGTAGAACTTGGATACAAATAACAATAGCCAATCCGACCACTCGAGCGAGTTTTAACCTATAATTGTCACTCCTAATGCTAACACTTTTTTATAAAGCAAAGTAGGCCAAGAAAAATAACCAAGTTAGAAGCAAAGCATACACACCAATTATCTATTTCATAATTCGTTTCTTTTCCTATGGATTGGAAAAAAGATGGATTATAGTTACAAGTAATGTGACTAAAAATTGCTTGATCTATTTCTTTAAGAGAATAGGCTAAATAGAATCGACTTGATTTTGGGGCTATTACTCAACATCTCAATGAATTATTGAAATTTTATCTCATATCATCCATTTTTTTGTTAACTCTTATGTTTCGAATGACAAAAATATTTAAAGAATTTGACATTCATTGATAAAAGTCGAAATTAATCATGCGTACCTTCTTCCATATCGTGGGATCCAAAAGTTCGGCAGAAACATTGAATCCCTTCACGGCATACCCATGAGCATAATTCTGATTACCACATTGTTTTCTCTGTTGTAGTGAATCCATCATCTTATAAGTCGTCAGTGTACCATTCTCCAACTTTTGAACTTGATCATAGAAGAAAACAATGGGCCTCTCACATGGCTCGAGGCTCATGACCCGAGTGTTGAACGTGAAGGGCTCCTCGCTCCAAGTGCCCCACGTTAGAAAAGTCTGCAACGGTGTACTCAAATCTTTAGCATTCATCAAAAACGGGTACAACTGCACATTATAACCCCACGAAATAGAAATGGACCAATTCCGAGTCAGGTCGTAGCAAAAGGTATGCTGCAAAGTTCGGCTCGGGTCAGAATTGTAGGCCCGCATTAGCATCTTGATGGATTCGACCCGACTTAGGCCCGGGAAAACGGGCTGGATATAGTCTAGATGGTGTAATGAGACTAGTGGTGCTATTGGGTGGGCCGAAAGTAGGCCATATGGGCTTCCTCGTATATCCATCTGTGAAAAGTCAAAAACATTAAATTGTTGATTGTCAGATTTTTATAAGTTGTAACAATTACTAACAATTTTGAGGTTTAATAAGATGCACATGCAAAGTGATCTTCACGAAATTCAACTGTTATTTTTAAGTGTAATTATAAAATTAATGAGGTTGGATTGTGACTTGTGAACAGTTCACATGAGAAGACTTTTGTGCCCATTATGAATTGAACCAAATTTACATTGGAAAGTGACTTTTAAACTCTATTTCAAAGTAATTCTAAAGATTTCTTCATAATAAGTAGTCTCGTTATTTAGGCATTTCTAAAAACATGGAGTGACCAGAGTCGTCATATCACACAGACAAAAACATACATCTAAACAGATGTGTCTTCATCTATCGAATGCAGATAAAAGTTGACCTTAAAATACTAAATATAAATATTGCACCATAAAAATATTGGTCAAAAACATCCATTGTAGATGGACAAGTAGCTAGTTTTACCTAACTCACGGACCAAGAATAATGCTTCATTCCTAGATAACTTTGGCCACTAACCAAAACAAAACAAAAAAAAAATACAATGGAGGTACAAATTCAAAAATTCTATGAACCATTGGATGGTTATCTTATGAAGTTGTATTGACATCTATCCAAAATATATTTATTGTAGGACACCTTATTTGTGAATGTATGGATGGCTCCATAAGTTGCCATCCGATGACTCAATAGCAAAACTGATTACAAATTAGATTCATACGAAAAATACAATTCATTTATAATTAAAACACAAATATAA